TTTTTCCATTTTCTTTACCTAAGATTTGTATTTAGGTACTTAATACCCAAGATGGAGCCACATGTTGGCAACATTGTACACTTCTCATTGTACTTTTGTTCTTTTGTAACTTGAGTACATATGGCAATAAACCTAATTCTAAATTCTATATACCAGGACTATGTTCCCAAGATCCATGTTAAGTGCAAGGGAGGAAAGACAGTCAGCCCATTGCAGCTCGGTCATCCAAAAAGACACGGCCTATCCCATCAAGGCACTGAACTCAATTCTCAGTTAGTCTCAGGTTACATCCAGAAGACCACTTTGCATGTTGGTCATTGTTGTGTGAAAAATCTCTCCAACTTAAACTGACCTTTCACTAACTTCAACCCGATTTCTTGTCTTACAGTGTCTGCACACCCTGGGTATGAAAAGACCTAAATGTTTTAATGAGATGTGATCTACTCAGTACAAGTAGACTGCAAAGAGAAATTTGGTTTAATAAACATTATTTCACATGTCCCCTGTTAAAAATATTTTTCTGTACTGAAATACTCAGAACAGACTTGTCCAATGGTTGTAGAATGATAAAGACAGCATAAATTAACTGACATCAGTCAAAACTAACACAAAACTGAATAGTTCTAACATCTTATTCACTGCCTTTCTGCTCACAACACACACCACAACCACAACAACATTGTTGCGTGAAATAATTTGTCCTCGGAATCCAGGAACATTCATGAATCAAAACTTACATAAACATCTCATCAATGATTTGCATTTACGGTCTACATCAAACCAATGGAAGCCTTTCTTTTTACGGTAGGCATGAAATACAGTATAGGAAAAGGCCATTCGGTGAATCGCACTTGTGCTAGCTCTTTCAAATAGCTAACCACTTGGTCCCACTTACCTGCAGTTTTGTTCGATCCTCTGCCACACTGCCTACCCTGATCATATTAGGAACCGAGTTGGGGAATTCAGACCTTCTACCTGTTCCACCATTCTATTAGATCATGGTACTGCATTTTGGATCACACTTGGTAATAAATTAAATAAGCATAATGGTAGCAAATCTGCATGATGAAGGTTATAGCAGCTGCTGGCCTGGCATTGTATTTTTAGTAGTTTTATAATGTAGCTCCGTGCACCTCAAACATAAAGCAGAGTTTTTACCAGTAGCAACTAGTGGGATTGGTAGAGATACATAACAAACTCACCAGAGTACAGTAAGAGAGCTTGGATATAGAAATGGGAAAAAGAACACAGAAACACAAATAAAAGGTGAGAAAAATCAAACAAAGAAACAGACAAACTACAGACTTAAAGACTGACCTATAGTTTGAAAAATATTGCAGAGATTCAAACCAAGTGGTAAGATTAGGACGAATATTTACAATTGGAGCTGTACTATTCACGTCATAAAAGGACCAAAATGAGATAAATTGTCTGGAGGGAAGAACGGAAAATGTATATTACGTGACACCACAACTTGGCTGTAAAAGCTTGTGAAGACGGGCAACAGGAGTTTGACCATCACACCCATGGAGAAACTAGGATTACCCCTGGACATTTACAAGTCTCTTTCTTCTCCACTGGCTGATATTTAAAGTGTAAATGCCAACTATTTCATTGGGAATGAAGTTAGCTCCGAGACTGGAGCATATAATCAGCATCCATTGGGATATAGTTATTATCCACTGGAAGTAGTCAGCATTCCCTGGGATATAATCAGCACCCATCATTGGAAACATAACCAGCAATGGATGTAGCAAATCCCAAGATCCAAGCATGTCAATCACATTTAAACATTAGTGTTTTAGAAAGAACTCATGTTGGTCAGATACCTACAGTAAACTAAATATTCTTTGTGGCGGGGTTGGACTATAACTGAACCATACTCACATGGAAAGCTCAAGAATTAGCCTTTGGACAGAATCACAGAATTATTACTATGCAGGAGATGTCCATTCAGCCCATCAAGTCTACACAGACTTTCTGAATGAGCAGTTCACTACAGTCATCCTCCCAATTTCTCCCTGCAACCCGGCACACTGAACCCTCTTCAATAACTGTCTAATTCCCTTTAGAAGGCCTGAACTGAACCGGCCTTCACCACACTCTCTAGCAGTGAAATCCCAACCCTCAGCAGTCACTGTGTGAGCAAGTTCATGCTCAGGTCACTTTTGCTTCTTTTGCCAATTACTTTAAATCTGTGCCCTCTCGTTCCTGATCTGCTGTGATGTTAAAAGTGGAGAGAGGATTATGGCTTAATTTAATGTGATCTCCCAAGCTTCTGCCCATCAACAAACACTGAACAGTTCACACATAGTCATTTAGGCAAGTCGCTGAACATCTTCATTTCTTGGACGATTCAGAGATTTAGGGGAGATGGGAAAGAAGTTGGGGCTTGAGATCCTTACCATCAGCTGCATCTGGGCGGAATGTTATGCTGATTTCAAATTCATGGTAGGCATCCTTTATCGTGGGCAACGCAATGTAGGAGATAGGGTCCTGTGTGAAATATGGGATCTTGCGTTCTGAGAAGACAGGAAAATTGCACAAAGGTTCATTGAAGCAATACAGGAGCTGCTTATTAATATTTAACATTTAAAGTGGCTCAGTGGTAGCCTTCAATTCACCTCCGAGTCAGAAGGCCATTGGGTTTAACTCTGTATACTACATAATTTACGCTGGCATTTCAGTGTTGTACTGAGGGAGGGCTACGTTGGAAAAGATGCAGACTTTCAGTTTCCCTTTTTCATCCTGTTAGCCCCAAGCAATACATTTCCCTCAGCCAATGAAACAGATGATCTGATCTGTGCTATGTAGCACAGTGGGACATTGTATGGATCTGAAAGATACTAAATCCCTGCATCATTGTGGCACTTTCCCGAGTGTTGTCAAAGGGAGCCACAGGGAGACTTTGGTGTATTCAATTTGGAATAGAGCAGTGGAAATCTTTGATTCACATTTCAATACTGTTACAACAATGCATGCTCAGACTGCCTTAATTCACAAAGCTACTTACATTTTAGTATTCCATTTTGTCTTACTTATTCTGCTAAACCCTACTTGTGTCAATTCTAAGTGAAGTTTCAAAAGACTTGTATGTACTTTTACAAAGAATGTAAAACAGCAAGCCATTAAAGTGGCACATGGCCCAGCTGCCAAAGCAAGGGAGATAGAATCAGCATGATTTTCTGTATTTCTATAAAACCTGGGTGAGGTTATGCTTGGGACAATGTTTTTAGTTTTGGCTGCCCTGTGCAAGGAAGGACATGCTTGCTCTAGAGTCAGTATAGCAAATGTGTTCAAGATTGCGCCCTTGAAATAAGAGGACTGACCTGTGATGAGGTGTTGAGTAAACTGGGCTGAGATTCTCTGGAATTTAGAGCAATGAGAGGTGATCTCATTGAAACATTCAGAATTCTTAAGGGGCTTGATTGGGTTAATACTGTGAGGTGTTTCCCCTGACTGGGGTATCTAGACATGGGGGCACAGTTTCAGGACAAACACACTGAGACAAGGAGGTATGTCTTCACTTGGGGCAGGGATGGAGGGTTATGAATCTTTGGAATGCTCCATCATCATTGAATTATTCAAGGTTGAGGCAGAAGTTTGGTTTCTCAGGAATTCAAAGGAAATGGGGAATGGATATGGAAATGAAGCTGCTGCAGATGAAGCAGCTACAAACGTATTGAATGGCAGACACAATATTACACCTGCTCTTATTTATGTTCTTATGTTGCAGTGAACATCTCATGCAAAAATGAACTTGTCATACCTCTGACTTTCAGCATGGCGTACGCTGTCTCTGTCCCCTGTTCGTTTGTGGCTGTGCAAACGTATGTTCCAGTGTGTTCGGTGGTAGCTGATGGTATGGTCAGCACATTGTTCTCGACGTAGGCTCCGGGTGGGAGATCTCCCTCCAGCTAAAGGTAACCACAGGAATGTGAGAAAGTGAAAACAGGATGGAAGCCTCCTGATCTACATCAAACGAAACATTGCATTAGCATGTTTGGTCAACGATAGGAATTCAATGTAGGTTTGCATTCTTGATGAGCAATAATAGAGTAAAAGGACCACAATCTGCATCTCTCAGACTTATTCTGTCATTCTTTTATGGGATGTGGGTGCTACTTTCTAGGCCAGTATTTATTGACCATCCCTAATTGTTTCCGAATCTTAAACTATTACGTTCTTGGGATACAGAGACATACGCAATGCTGTTAGGGAGTGAATTCCAGGATACTGACCCAGTGATACTGAAGGAATGGCAATATATTTCCAAGTTAGGATGGTTAGTGGCTTGGAGAGGAACTTGCAGATGATGTTCCTGTATGTATCTATATCTGCCTATAGGTGTTCCCATGTATCTGCTACCCATGTCCTTCTAGATGCTTGAGGCCACAGGTTTGGAAGGCAGTGTCAAAGGAGACTTGGTGAGTTACTGCATCGTGTTGGTGGTGATGGAAGTGAATATTGAAGGTAGTGCTGGTGTGTCACTGAGGAAGGTTGCTTTGTTTTGGATGGTGCCAAGCTTCTTGAATGTTGTTGGAGCTGCACTCATCCAGGGATGTGGGATGTATGTTATCATATTTCTGCCTTATGCCTTGTAGATGAAAGTCAGCAGAATAGCCTGACCCTCAAGCTTCTCCTCTCTGCTGACCACACCAACTGGACCCTTTTGTCTCTCTCTGTCCCATCTAAATGGGTCTGTTCACAGGCTGTTTTCAGGTGTGAACATTTTTCCCCTTCCTCCCATTAAGTTTGAACCTGGATCTCCTCATCGCTCTGCTCTTAAGGGAAACTCCACAATAAATGCTCCCTCAACCTGTCAAAATTGGAGAATACCTCACTGTTCTCTGATTCTTTAACACAACTGGACAGCTGGTTGCTCACAGTTCAAGGAGCCATGAAACATTTCATCATCTCAGCCTTTGCTGTAACTTTCAACGTCATTTGCAATCAGATATTTATACAGATCACACTAACAAAGCTAACTGGCTCAGCATCAACTCCTTAAGTGTACATGACAAAATGTGCAGACAGCTCTTTTTGGATTTTCGACTCTACAAAGGTCATAGTGCTCAAAACAATATTGAAGGTAAAGCTTCCTGGGCAAAAAAAAACTACCTTATTCCAGGTGATCTCTGGCTCTGGATATCCAGAGGCCAGACACGGAAACACAGCCTTGGATCCAATCGTTACTTCTTTGAGCTCTGGCTGAGGAGCAATCATGGGCACCGCTGTAAAAATAACAAGTATTTTGTTATTCGAGTGACATACATAAAAAAGTGTCTTTCACAATCAATTCTTTAAAAAGAACATAAATCAGGAGATGCAGTAAACTTCCTGCATCAGCAGGTATTGACGGCCTGGCACAATGTAGGCAACTTTATCTCTAATCGTGTACTTCAGTTACAGAAAGAAAATATAGTGTTTAAATCAATATTTTAATGAAATAATGTATGGAGGTCAGTGGTAGAAGTAAAATGATGGTTCTACTGTCAACAGCAAATTTTAGATTTAGGAATGTGACCAATATTGGCAAGGTCATAATTATTGCCCATTCCTTAACTGTTCTGGGGGCAGTACGGATTAAGCAGTGAGCATGGTTTTGCAGACACTCATCACATCTCAAAGTTATTTTAGAATTATGCTTTAAAACTGGATCTACATCACTCAAAATAAACTAGAGAACAAATTGAGCTTCACTCACTCTGCACGTATAGCACCACCTCAGACTTGACGGACCCTGCATCGTTGGTAGCAGTGCATCGGTAACGCCCTGCATCAGACTCTTTCACATGGTCAATTTTCAGCATTCCATTCTTGAGGATAACTTCAGGAGACAGCCTTCCATTCACTTTACTCCATCGAATAGAAGGCTGGGGATCCCCGATAGCCTGGCACTCGAATTCCACTGACCCACCCACCATTACCATCTGCATGGATGCCCTCACGTTGATCATGACAATTGGTAAGGCTGAAAATAACATGGGGAAAACGTTATTTCACTTCCATCTCCACCAACACATCAGCAGTAGTGTGTACCATCTACAGCATGCACTGCAGTAACTCAAAAAGCCTCCTCTGACAGCAACTTCCAAATCTGCAGCCTCTACCAACTAGAAGGACAAGAGCAGCAAACGCATAGGAAAACCGCTACCTACAAGTTCCATTCTAAGCCATCCTAATTGTCTCACATCTGCTGATGCTGGATGAGCAGGTTTATCCCACAGCCCCAGTTGGCCAATAGCTTTCTGTGGTGCACTGGCATTGCTTTGAGACTTACCTACCTGGTTAAGTCAGTTGTGTCAGATTAATGCTGCTAGGTTACTCAATGGTGAAGGTCCATCTAAAACAGTCCAGTTCATTGGCCCTGAAACTGCTCGACCATGTCCTGAAGCAAACCAGGTACTACAGCCACATCACCTTTCTGAGTACTTGCCTAGGGAACCGGATCATCCCCAATGGACTACAGTCTACATTCAGGCCATTCCCAATTTGGCCCCAACCGCGATGACTGCTACATTCATAACATTGATATCCTTCAAAAATGTTTCTCCCTAAGACTCCTCAAAAATACACTCACAGCAATGCACCGGCATCTCCTGGTACTACAATCAAACCTACCCCAGCTCAGAGCCTCCCTCTCCCAGAACTGCAAAGGACCTCTCCTGTTTTACATTCTTCACAGGATCCACAACCTGAACTCACGATTCTACTCGGCTTTATTGGACACTAAAAACCGTAAGTACTGGTGCCTGCCACCCAATACAGGCCCCTTCCACCCCCCAAATCCCCAACCCTACCCAGAACCTTCCCCACAATGTGCCCTCCGCCATCGGCCACGTGGCCACTTTCGGAGCACCCACGGATTCCATGGATGACATCACATCCGCCGCCGCACGGTACGCCACTTCCAGTACAGTGAACGCCATCGACACCGCTGCCGATGCCGCCGCCCCCGTTTCTGAGGCCGACACCACAGACATTGAGGACGCTGCTGCCGCCGCCAACGTCCAAGATTTACTGGCCTACGCCGCACCGCCCACCGCCGACACAAGGACTGCAACTTCCCCTCCACAGTGATCGAAAACGCCCTCGACTGTGTCTTTTGCATTTCCCACAACTCATCCCTCATACCCCCTCCCTGCAATAATAACCAAAACAGAATCCCCCTCGTACTCACGTACCACCCCACCAACTTCCGGATCCAACGCATCATCCTCCGACACTTCCGCCATCTTCAATCCGATCCCACTACCAAAGACATCTTTCCCTCCCCACCCTTATCTGCTTTCCAGAGGGACCACTCTCTCTGTGACTCCTTTGTCCGCTCCACACTCCCCTCCAGCCCCACCACCCCCAGCACTTTCCCTTGCAACCGCAAGAAGTGCTACACCTGCCCCTACACCTCCCCCCTCACCCCCTCCCAGGCCCTAAGAAAACCTTCCACATCAAACAGATGTTCACCTGCACATCTGCCAATGTGGTATACTGTATCCGCTGTTCCCGTTGTGGCCTCGTCTACACTGGGGAAACCAAGCAGAGGCTTGGGGACCGCTTTGCAGAACACCTACGCTCGGTTCCCACTAAACAACTGCACCTCCCAGTCACGAACCATTTCAACTCCCCTTCCCACTCCTTGGACGACGTGTCCATCCTGGGCCTCCTGCAGTGCCACAACGATGCCACACGAAGGTTGCAGGAACAGCATCTCATATTTCGCTTGGGAACCCTGCAGCTCAACAGTATTAATGTGGACTTCACAAGCTTCAAAATCTACCCTCCCCCTACCGCATCCCAAAACCAGCCCAGCTCGTCCCCGCCTCCCTAACCTGTCCTTCCTTCCACCTATCCACTCCTCCCACCTCAAGCCCCACCCCCATCTCCTACCCACTAGCCTCATCCCGCCCCCTTGACCTGTCCGTCCTCCCTGGACTGGCCTATCCCCTCCCCAACTCCCCACCTACACTCACCTTTACTGGCTCCAACCCCGCCTCCTTGACCTGTCTGTCTCCTCTCCACCTACCTTCTCCTTTATCCATCTTCTATCCACCTCCCCCTTTCTCCCTACTTATTTCAGAATCCCCTTCCCCTCCCCCATTTCTGAAGAAGGGTCTAGACCCGAAACGTCAGCTTTCCTGCTTCTCTGATGCTGCTTGGCCTGCTGTGTTCATCCAGCTCTACACCTTTTTGTCTCAGTTCTTAAAAGTCTTGTATATTCAACCGTGTTGTCTGCTAACATCCTGACATTTCTGTAATCCACAAATTTCTCTATGCCCAATAACAGATCCTCCTTGACGCTGGAAGAGCAGACAGTGACCTACGTCTTTGAGCAATATTTGATCACCTCTCTGAATATTCCTCATTTTTATCCAGTTCTGCCTCTGTCAAGCAGCTTAGAACATTCTCCCAGATTACCACTCCTGTACAAATGCCAAGTGTTTGCTCAGACGTCTATCAAAGCTCACTCTTCAATCAGCAAAGTTCATACTTAAAAATGTATCATCAACATTGCAAAGCTCACAAAGCACAGGAAGCAAAGATACCGACTAAACATGTCAAATGTGGAATAAATGCTATTCACTTGACTAATGCTCTCTGCTGAAGGGAAAGATGACCTTCATAATCATAGCTGTCATTGTACAGATGGCCAGTTGCCTCTGTCAATTTTTATAATGTAGTCACCACATTACAATCAACAGTTTACAAGATAAGCAGAAGACTCCTCGTGTAATATTCTGATATCCCCAGGGTAATGATTCTCGTGCAGTCTTAAATTGGTATCCATTAATTTACACCCATTTTACATCTCTTTATCTCTTTCACCACCACTAACATCCCCTTCCTTCTCCTCCGTCTCTACCGAAAGTACATAAAAAGATTTTCCAACTCCTTTAGTTCTGAAGAAAAGTTATACCGGACTGAAAACATTAAGATCTGTTTCTTTCTCCACAGATGCTGCCAGACCTGTTTCCCTTTCAGATTTCCAGCATCTGCAGTATTTTGTTTTTAAATATCCATTAAAGTTATCTTTCCAATAGCCTGTATGTCTCTGAATTCTCCGTTCATCCTTATATTCCCCACATCTGCCTCATCTGCTCCCTGAAGTAAATTTAGTAAAGTGATAAGAAAATTCTGGAGAAACTTAGCAGTTCTGGCAGCATCTGTGGAGGGAGAACCAGAGTTACTGTTTTGAATTCAATATGATGCTTCTTCAGAAATAGAGAAAAATTGGGATGTGGAATTCTCTCTTCAGATCTGAAGAAGTCCTATTGGACCCAAAAATGTTAACTCTGCTTCTCTCTCCACAGATGGTGCCAGGCCTGCTGACTTTCTCCAGCATTCTCTATGTTGTTCCAGATTTCCACCATCCTTTGCTTTTAAACTCAGCGTAAAGTCATTTCTGCAAGATTTTCAAACCTTCCCCATTGTGGAGCTGATTAACGGTAAGTATAACCTTGACTGAAACCTCTAGTTTGATCTGACTATGTAGTTGTGTAATAAGGATTGGAACAAGATGTTAGGCCAAGAATTTGATCTTTTCTCTCAATTTTTCCAAATGTTCATTCCTGCATTCAATGGAGGTGAGGAATCATCTATTTCTTCTGACTGACATTGAACCTTTTTAAATCACATCAACACATTTTTAAACAGAGTAAATTTAGACCCATCTTTTATAGATCATAAATTGAATTTAAAGCCTACCTTGGATGACAAGTTTGGCACTGTCCTGCACCTGCCCAAAAGGGTTTGACGCTTTGCAGATATAAACCCCTTCATTTCCTTCTTGTATATTTTCTATTCTGTGAAAGTAGCAGACAGAGCAATTTCATACCAGATAAACATCATTCTCAAAAGAGCTGAGCACACAAGAAACACAAACCTCTTTATTCTTTTCAGTTCATCATTACCATCGACTGTATCTCAATTGGCAGCATTCTCACCTCTGCATTGGAACATTTTGGTTTCAAGTCTGATTTCAGGACTTCTGTGATAAAATCAAGGCTGACATGCCTGTAACTGAGGTGTGTTGCACTGTTGAAGGTGCCTTTTGTTTTAGACGAGATGATAAACCAAGCCCCAAACTGTTCTCTCACGTGGACTGTAAAAGATTCCAAGACCCTATTTTGAAGAGCAGGTAAATTCTTCTTTGTCTCCTGGCTGCAACTAATTCCTCAATCAACAGCAATTATCTTGTTATCAGCACATTGCTGTTTATGAGAGCTTGCAGAGGAATATGTATGATTATAATGTCTACAATTCAACAGTACTTCATTAGCTTTACAGATGGCCTTAGGTTGTGAAAGGTAATATATAAACGAGAGTTTTCTTTTTCATTTCATTTAAGTGAGAAAATGAATCAGTGCAATACTGTAAAAGAAACATGATTCTGCAACAAGCTTGGTCTGGCCATTCATACTGCTTTGTTACAGTTAACTGACCATGTACAAATGTTAAGTGTCAGTGATTCAGATGGAAGGAAAGGACAAACAGATATATAATGTCTTCCACAAAGATGTCTAAGGGGTTTCTCAACCAGTGCAACACTTTTGAAGTGCAACCACTAGGATAACTGAAGGAAGCAACTTGAAAAATTGTACTGTGTTAATTCACCAGATATTCTGCCTTTTGCATTTGTTTGAGGGTTTAAAAGTAGCATATTATCTAAATAGTAATACTATCCAAACAGAGCTCCAAGATGCAGAGGGATCTGTGTGTCCTAGTGCATGAATTGACAAAGGTTAGTATGCAGGTACAACAAGTAATTAGGAAAGTTAAAAGCTTGTTATAATTCATTGCAAGGGGAATTGAATATAAAAATAGGGAGATTATGCTTCCATTACACAGTGCACTGTGAGACTACATCTGGAGTACACTGCACTCCACTGAAGAATGAACACCTCATTTAAGGAATCATGTAAATATGTTGGAAGAAGTTCAGAGATGCACTAACTAATACCTGGAATGACTCGGTCATGAGAACAGATTGGACAAGCTATGCTTGCACTTGCTGGAGTTTAGAAGATTCAGAGGTGATTTGATTAAAACATATTAGGGCCCCACTTAAAACAGAGTTAAGCAATTCTTTTTCTATCAGAGTGTCACGAGTCATTGGAACTCTGCTTCCACTGCGTTTTCAGGAAAAGAGTATTTGAATATATTTAAGGCAAAGGTGGATAAATTCTTGATAAGCAACGAGGTGAAAAGTTATCAAGGGTTCAGCAGGTTCCAATCAGATCAAGCCGTGATCTTATTGACTGGCCTACACTCATCCCTTGTTGGCAGAAAGTAGCCTACTCCTGCTCTTTGTTGGTCCTCTACTGCAAACAGAATGCCATTGTTGGGAGTAAAGGCCACCTTAAAAGTGATTAGAAGTAACAATTCATTATCTTACCTCAAGACTCCTTTATTGATTCTATGATTCAAGAGAAATTGTCCTTCCTCCTTGAACCACTCAGTCCTGGGTTCTGGGTGACCAGTGGCTGCGCAGGTGAATTCCACGGTGCCACCAATATTGCGTACCTCAATTTGCGGTGATACTCTCACTGCTGGTGGAGCTGGTGTGATAAAGGACAAAATGCAGATAAGAGTTACAGGTTGCGACGCAACTATTGCGAAGTGCTTAATCATACTTTTCTATCATCATCTACTCCATTGCAAGCATGTATCAACAGGCCTCTAACTGTGGACTTTTCAGAGCTACATTAAACACTGCACATGGAAGAGTCCCAACTATTCTTTGAGCTGCTGCATTGTAACTTGGACTGCGCAAGAATGTTTTTGAAATTTACTGCAGCTTCACAAAATTGTACACCTGAAGATCTGAGAAAACAAGATCCAAATTCAAGGCACAAGATGACATTGTTACACAGATATCAAACATAAAAGTGGAAACATAATTTAAAAAAAAATCTATGCAATGAAACAAGGAAAAGAACCAAGTTTGCTAGTTAGTTAAATATTGTTACATTTCAATTAAAATTAAACCCAGATAAAATTTCCAGAAGTCTTGGTACAATAACCATTCAGCAATCTGTTTGCAGATTATTGTAACAGAGAGGAAACATTGAACAAATACATTAATCCAGAATGAATGAATTAAACTACACTCAGGGGTGTTCAAAATGCACAACAACACATTTGTAGACTGTGTTTGTATCACACTTCGGGGGGAAAAGAATCTGTGCTTGAGAATAATAGATGGAAGCTGTTGTGCCGAGAGCTTTCTCGAGAGTCCTGAGTGCTTATTTTTCCAAGATTGCTAATGGGGGAAGAAGGTGGCACAGATTTCAAGGCTACCGCCCTGGCAACAGTGATTCAAATCCCACCTCAGGAAGCTGGTAAGATATCAATTTAATTAATAAATCTGGAATAGAAACCTCATATCAGCGATGATGGACATGTAACTGTTATTGATTGTTGTAAAACCCATCGACTGCTAATGTCCTTCACGGAAGGCAATCTGCCGGCCTGACTCAGTCAGGTCTACACCTGTCTGCAGACACACACCAATGTTGTCGACTCTTAACTGCCCACTGAAATGGCCCAGCAAGCCACTCACATCAACGGCATTAGGAACAGATCACAAATGCTGGCTTTGAATGCTATTTCAAGCACTGAATCACTGAGACCAAATTCCTCTGACCCTTTCCTTTCTTCAGTGAGAAGTTGATCAAATCTCTCTTGTAAATGGTTTGTGTGTAAAAAATGATCAGAATGCAGTCAAGTTTCTTCCTGTGGGTCCTACAATTTAGAGACTGTATTTTCTGCTCCTGTTTAGGCTTGAGACGCTCATTGGCTGTGGTACAAGAACTTAATTTGATTCTAACTCAATGCAAACAATTTCTGGCGGACCATCAAGGCGATTATCAGGAAACAAAAAATGTTTGTTTTATTTTATTTGGAAAGCTCCAAACTTATTTGGGCCAGTTGAGAGTGATCACTAGCTGATTTTTTTCTGCTGAGCTTCAAACTGACAGTCACAACACTGAAAGGGGATTTTTGGAACTTTTTTCATGTTGTGCCAAAAATTCACTAAGATGGGGACGCAGAGGGATAAAGCTAAGACCTTTGCTGAGTACAGAACATTCAGCAGACAGAAGGTCAGAAGGGATGAGTCTGAAGAAGGGTCACTGGATCTGAAATGTTAACTCTGCTTTCTCTCCACAGATGCTACCAGACCTGCTGAATTTTTCCAGCAATTTTTGTTTTCCAGGATCTGCAGTTCTTTTCTTTTTAAATGGATGCCCTCTTTTGAGCACTGCACGTTAGGATTTGAGAAGGGATCTGTTTTAAGGATTTGAGAGAATACAGCAAAGATTCATGAGTATGGCCCCAAGGATGAGGGACTTCAGTCACGTAGACAGATTGGAGAAGGTGGGATTTGTTTTCCTCAGAGAAAGAAAGATAGGAGATCCGATTGAGGTGCTCAAAATTCATGAGAGGTCTGTACATGGGAAATAGGGAAAGATGTCTCAGTCAGTGGGAGGATCTAGAACCAAAGGGCACAGGTTTAAGGAGATTGAAAAAAGAAGCAATGGCAATTTGAGTAAAAGCTTTTTCATTCAGCGATGGTTAGGATCTTCAATTCATTGCCTGAGCGTGATGGAAGAAAGTTCAAATGAGGAGTTCAAGAGGGAAGAAGACTGTGATCCTTTATTGAAGGATTGTGGATAAAGGATTTATTCAAATTTTATGAAAATAATTGAGTTGAGGTCATTGAAATTTCACTGTGGATATCTTGGGAAATCACATGACTATTGATAACTTCGCTGTAGCCCCTGCTGGGGCTGTTTTGAGTGGTGGCTGGCTTGCAGAAGATTGTTGTTTTATCTGGCTCAGTTTGAGGGCTTCCCAGCTGACCTCTCATTTCCACAAACAGAACCTTCTTTCTGAGTTCACCAATTTGTTCTTATGCAAGTGTGACTGAAACAGCATCTCAGATTCTATTTCCTGAACAAGCTGTGTCTGCAGGACTTCAGAGACAACCATCCGTGATGAAAGACTTAACCTCACTTGCCAGAATCTCGGAGCAACAGATTTAAGAACATTTCATGCTTCATCCTTTTACCTTCAAGAATAACCCATTGGGTGTAGTTCAGAGTAGGTTTACTAGACTAGTACCTGTAATGAGCAGATTGCCTTATGATGAAAAGACAGGCTGGGCTTGTATCCACTGGAGTTTGGAAGAGTCAGAGGTGACTTAGTTGAAGTCCCTAAGGGGACTGGACTGGATGGATGTGGAAAGGATGTTTCCCCTTTAGGGAGAATCTAGAACTAGGGGTCGTAGTTTAACAAAAAAAAGGTCACCCATTTAAAACAGAGTTGCGGAAAGATTTATTTTGTCTCAGAGGGGAGTGAATCTTTGGATTTCCCTTCCTCAAAAGGCAGTGGATGCAGAATCTTTAAATATTTTTAAGGCAGAAGTAGATAGATTCTTGATGAGGATGAAATTACTGGGGATATGCAGGAATGTAGAATAGACGTTAAAATCATATCCGCCATGATTCCATTGGATGGCACAGCAAACTCGAAGGGCCGAGTGGCCTACTCTTGTCCCTTGCTTGGACGTTTGTATGTAAAGAAGCTTTGTTTTGATAATAAAGCAATAATTGTGTTTTTCAGAAATGTGGTTGATAGGTCAATACCTATTAAACCTGATACAGATAAGGTATTCAATTCGCCATCTCAAAAAAGTATTTTTAATTTTATGTTGTGGCTTCTGGAGTAATAGGACCTGGGTGACATCAGACTCTTCTAGCCTCAGTTGTAATATATCTAAAAAGGGTGAATGTGCAGGGTTACAGGGAGAAGATGAGGAAAGAGGGTCAGTACAGACACGATGGGCAGAATGGCCTCTGTCTGCGCTGTAACCACTCTCTGATTCTGGCTATGTCAAGGATTCGCATCTCACTGGAATGTCACCAGCATTTGTTGGGGGAATCTCCTTTGGGGAAAATGAGCCTGAAACAACAGTGACCCAATTGAGGCTCATGAGCTCTACCAGTAGATCATGGGAACAAGCAAGAGGGCACAGCTTGGTGGGTTGCTTGATTTCACTTGGTATCTCCTCCAGATCAGTCAATCTGCAGGATTCCTACCAATGTCCTTTTGTGAATATAAAGCATTTAGGCAAAAATAAGTAAGTAAATAAATTATAGGTTGCACAGAGATCTCCTGTACCAGATGGTAAAAGCATCAAAAGTACAGGAATGGGCTTCTTGGAGGGCTTGTAATTTGGCAGACCTTTTAAATGTTCTCCCATCTCTATATCTATTCATGGCCACCTCCTCAGTGGGTTTCAATGGTAATGCTTGGAATTCAGCTCCCTGAACTCAGGAGTGGTGGGAGTGGGGTGGGGGGGGGGGGGGGGGGGGGGGGAACAGGGGGTTTTTTTTCAAATTAAAAAAAACCCCTACCC